CAGGGTCCAGTCCCACAGGTCCATGGCTGAGCAAGGCTGGAGACTGACATCCTGTGGTATCGCTGGGGAACGATGTACAGCCCCGGGCTGAGCTGAAATGGAGCCCCCAGGCCTGTGGGCCGAATGGGGAGAGGCTCTGGGAGTGCTGCTGAGGTCCATGAAGGTCTGTTAGCATTCTCAGGGTCCAGACAGGGTGAGGGAGGTGGTGGGTGCACCTACACATCCTGGGAGATCTGCCTGGAGATACATGGTGTTATAAGCACACATTAGCACTTACTTTAAGCACAGTGTGCTTAAGGAACTGCAGATATTCATTTTGAGATGCAAATAGGTCCCACAGCAAATACCAGCCAGTGGTGTGATTCATTTGCAGTTTCTGAGGTGCCAAAAACTTTACTGTAAACACTGTAATGGTAGGAACAAGCGTTTTTGCCAGTTATTTTGTCTGGCAAATGCTGCTGATAAATCCTTTTGCTGCATCTCTTTTAGAAAAATCTGTTTTTACTGTTACAATACCAAACAGCCTCTAGTGTTGAATAAGTGCAAGCTGCTGATTTTGTCTGATCTGTGAGACCTTCTCACATCCACCGATACATCTGAAACTTGAGTTCACAGCCAACACTGGCAAAGATCTTTGATTTTGTCCTTTAAAACCCAAGGTGACTGTATCAGTTTTAGATGAGGCACTAAAATTTTCCTTACTGCACCAAGCTGTCTGTGCCTTGTTTGCTGAGGCATTTGCTTAACTCTAGACTCACTGGAGCCCTGTCATGGATGTGCCTGAGGAAGACAGTAACTATTTTTTTTAAGGTTTAAACAGGTAAAGAGTTAGAGTCATTGTCAACCAGCTTCATCTCTCACACTCTTGAGAAAGGGATAAACTCATCTACTTTGGGCCTTATCTCCTCATTTGCTGAAATGGTAAGGAGTTGAGGGAGAAAGCTGAATTAAAGCACTCCCAAATTGTTTCGCTTTTATCCTGTATGAGGTGAGAGAAGAGTCTGAAGAGAAGCTTGTGTACGCAGGTTGGCTAGGGCCCAGCTAACAGCATGGCAAGGAACACCTTGAGTAATATCTACTGAGTAATTTGAGTGAACGTAATATAGAAACATCCGAGCTAGCTTTGTATGAGCTCAAATAGTAGAAAAGTTGAATTCTGAAAACAAAAAATCATAGCATAGATATACCCTTAGTTATGGCAAACATTCTTTATATCTAAATCCCACTGAGATGTAGAAACCAAGTATTTTTTTCCTACTTCCATGACTTGTATGCTTTGAACCAGAAGCTGCTCTTAAAAAAACCTCTGTCAAATTCAGTAGTTTGGACAGTCTTCCAGGATATAGGAAACAAAGATGTTCAACCTCTACTTGAGGGCTTTTGAAATCCCATCTCCTACTACCCAGGAAATATCCTAATTAGTAGATGTTACACTGTTTTGCTGTTAAACCAAGAGAGAATGTGTACAGCCATAAACAATTTCTTTGTTCCTTTCCCATAAAGATCTCAAACTGCTTTCCAAATTAACAAACCTGGGTGTGCCAGTGTTTGCGTTGCAGTAGTCAAGGCCGTGCCCTAGGAGAGCAGTGTCAAGAGACCAACATATTTGTAACTGCGTTTATGTGTTTTTATTCTAGGAATTCAATCTTTTATTACACACTCAGTGGTATGAATTTAAATCCTATAAAGCAGGAAAAAAAAGTATGCAAAATAAAAGAGAGAAAAAAAAATGCTGTATGAACAACTCACCAGAGTTTTATTCTTCAAAAATAGAAAGCTGAGGTTATATGTTAGGATCCAGTTAGTAACAGAGTGTACAGGTAGCAAAAAGAAATAGAATAATATGATGTTTAGATCTAGTAACAGTCCTGGAAACATCCCGTTTTAGCATGTGCATCCCATAATTCAATCTGATCTTATCTCTTGTAGGGAACAAAAAAGGAATAACAAATTACACAAGGTTTTCCTTGAAAAAGCTCAGTTCATTTTCTAAGGCTCTTTTCCCTGAAGACTGGTTGCTCTAGGCTAGAATCCACATGTGTGTTTAGATGAAGGGCCTTGTGACTGAAAATAAGCCCCTGCTTATCTCTATATAATTGGTGCTTCAGCCAGTAATTGAATGCCTGTGGAATAGAGATGCCTTGAAGAAACTCCATGTCTCTCAGGCAGCTCTTTTTCACTATGGATTAGAAACAAAATGGGTATTTTTATAGTTAGTGTATATTGTTAATTAGCAGCATAGTTACCAAAGTAAATGACACGTAGACTAAATTACTTATTTAAAGAAATGACAAAATAATTAAAAACAAGTAACGACTGATAGGAATTCCCCAGGGAAACAGTGAACTGTAAAGAGCTGATACTTGCTTTTTGCTACTGACATCCCTGCTCCTAATCTTTAATTTTTTTTCAGCCCCTGGCTTCAGCACTGTGCATCACTGCATGGCTTGGGGCCATTCAGCATGCCAGCACCTCACTCACTGAAGAACAGCCCCCAAATACCTCTCAGAAATAGTAAAAATACACAAGAGCCTTGTACAAAAGCATGCCAAGGGAAAAAGATCCATAGCTGCATGTTCAGGCAATGATTTTGTGGTTACCAATATTTAATTTTAAACACCTAAATGTAGCACCACCGATTACATAAGAATTACTGATGCACATATAATTAAAAGCTTGCAGGACCTAATATTTGTGTGCGGTTTTATATTTGCATGCATATTTTGTATCAGGCAACACTTGTGTCCTCATCTTGCTAAACAAACATCTGAAATCACTGCTCTTATAGATACTTAACGGGAAAGCTCGGAGTCTGATCAAGGAAGCTTAGGAAATGGGCTTAGCCTAATTTTCAAATCAGAACGTTAAGTTTTTCTTTTGCAGTTGCTTTTTCTGTGTATAATCCAGCTGTGTTAATTCAAGTGAGATGTCAGGACAATATGTTAAATTGGGAACCGTTATTCTCAGGACAGTTTGAAAAGCACTGGGGCATTATTGGTGAGTCAATATCTATCCTAGCTGCTCTGCTTCAGGTTTTTTCCTCCTCAAAATGATTTTGTTCTCAAGAGTGACAGAAAAATTCATAAACATCCAGCATCATCTTTGGAGCAATTTAAAAGGTGCAGAGTTTTACTAGCAAGAACTCCATGCATGAATGCTATTCTAATATAATTTTGCTGTATATTGGAAAAGTAATGGGGTCAGAGCCTTCTGTGGCACACAGAAAAATAGCTACATTCTATCCATACAGTTTCATATTCTAAAATATGTATTTTTGAAGGGAATATATAAACCACAAAGATCAAATCTTTTGTAAATTGCTTTTGGGATTTGTCCAGTGCAACACTACCACAGCAGCAATGTGGGGCATGCAGCGCCAAGTAGCTTTATGTAACAAATGCAAGCAGTGGAAATCCAGCCTTGCAGAAGGTGCACCTCTCATTTGAAATTGGCAACAAATATACTTCAGAGAAATGACATGTGATTTTTGGTGTTTGCTGGCCGGGATGCTGCTTACATCTTATTGGGAAGGAGGAGCAGAACGAGCGTATCTGCCAGGCTTTGGCTCGAGGCTGCTCTCCAGGCAGCGTGCCACAGCTATGAAATCACTCTGTTATTTTAGACTCACATTAGATGAATAGGGTAATGCAAGCTGTTTGAAACTCAGTTTTGATGTATTTAAATGTTTTGAAATAATGGCTAGCATTTAATATGGAGTTTTGCTAACATTAGCTTTCAGAGTCGCCCAATGAAAACAGCCTTATTTCCTACTGTTTTAAAGGTATTTGTCTAATTAAACACAGATGCTTAAACCATCCGCCTTCACCACAAGAATCCACTGTTCAGACGTTCTGTCGTCCATCTTAACGGCTGAAATATGTCCTAAATTTCTAACTGATTGCTAAGTCATACATAAGCAGATACGGCTGTGATTTCTTGCTGCCTGCCACGAGTGCCAGGAAGCAAAGGCGGGTAGCAGGAGTGGCACTCTGCTCCTCACACTGTGCGAAATGTCTTTTTGAGTCAGTGTCAGATTTGTCTCCAACTTAGTGGCAACAGTTTGGTCACAAATACCTGCATATCTTCTGCTTCCAGTGATCGCTGTTAATTCCTAACACGGTGGCCTAGGAGCTGCAGGCTTGCACTGGTGTGTATGGTGATGTTCAAAGCCGAGTTAAGTTCTTTGAGAGTGGTGAGGTGCTGGAACAGGCTGCCCAGAGAGGCTGTGGATGCCCCGTCCCTAGAGGTTTTCAAGGCCAGGTTGGAGCCAGGGATGGGGCCCTGGGCAGCCTGGTCTGGTATTAAATGTCGAGGTTGGTGGCCCTGCATGTGGCAGGGGGTTTGGAGATTCGTGATCTTTGAGGTTCCTTCCAACCTGGGCCATTCTGTGATTCTGTGATGGTGAGCACAGTTCTGTTCTTGCGAGTGGTTGCTGTTCCCAGTGCAAAATGGAAACCATGGAAGAGCTCACACGTTTTGACAGCCAATTTTAACCAAAGAGCAGTTCAGCATAATGCTGCCAGGAGCAGAAAGAGAGACAAGTGCCAGACCCTCCTGGCACAGGTGTGTAGCAGCACACAGCGTGCTCAACTTTTATGTTTAAATCAGCCGTCATTTGGCAGAGATGACATAAACACACCAACCCTTTTCAAATTCTTTACTGCTGCAGCACGTGCCATTTTTTACAAGAAAACGTAGAGGAGAAAAAAAGAAAAGCAAGCTTCGCGCTTTACTACTGAAAGAACTATCAGCCCCCCAGCCCTGCCAACCGCCAGCCGCCCCTTCCTCCCGCACCTCAGCGCCGCCCCGCGCTCCGGCCGCACACGTCACTTCCCGGGGGCGGCCGCAGCGCCGCGAGCCGCGGGTGTCGGGGCGGCGCTGTGATGGCGGCCGCGGGGCGCCGGGGGGGCTGC